AGGCACCTAAAGTAAGTACTTGATCAGTCGGGCTGTGGTTCGACTGGGTTCACGTGGGCAGCAGTAACGCCGGTTGACGGCCCTGATCCACCACGAGGCCGGGTATGGACCTTGCCAGGGGCTTGACCCCCCTCCCCCCGGGTATACTCGTTCTCTCAGGATTCACCACTGCATTTCATTACATAAATTTTCTGCCAGTTGCAAACTTATTTACCCTCGCCTAAAACAAACACGACACACACAACACACACCCACACACACACACACACACACACCCAGGAGCTAGTCCCGACCCCTGCAACCACAATTAGGTTTAGTATACACACACACACACACACACCCCCACCACACACACACACACACCACACACACAACACACCACAGTGTAGTGGGGGCACAACGCCAGGGTCCGAGGATCTTAGTGCTTTTAGGCGTGTTTTTAGCAGCTAGAAGCATCCGTGTTATCAACGTCAGTGAACAACCCCACAAGTGATAAAACCAATGTTAGAAAAAATAAATAAAGTTTTAAAGGGGAAGGGAAAAAACCCGAAATTTTACAACAAAATTTCAAAGTGAAGTTCGTTGAGGCCAGTGGGCACCTGTTTCCACATTGACATATAACAAAGTACAAAGCGAGTGACTAAAGAGAAAAGACCAAAAGAATTAAGAGAGGGTGGTAACGACAAAAGTGTATCCACAGCGTGAACAGCTAGCCAAAAGGGATATAAATGTATACATAAAAAATATAAGCAGAGGGGTGGCACAGTAGGCCTGAGGGGGTAGGCCGCCATAACAGGGTTTGGGGGTCTCACAAAAAATAGGTACTTTCCAAAAATGGGTGAAAATTAAAAAGTAGCAGTATACAAGTGAAAGTGTGGTAAAAGAGGACTCAAAAGGGCAAAGAAAAGTATAGCCAAAAAGTCAGAGGGGGAAGGGCGAGGGGTACATCCATACAACGAGCATCGACAGCGAGCATCGTACATCAGGCACTGGTGACTCCCCTCTGAGAACGTACAAATCTCCTTGTCTTGGTGGCGGGGAAATCTGAGGGGAGAACCCCGGGCCCCGGGGGACACTGGACTGGGTATCTTTAAACCCGCTCCAGGGCGATTATCATACACAAAACACCCACAGTATAGGAAGATAAAAATTTTTAGGAGCAAGGCAATGGGACTACCCCTGACAACATTTTTGGAGATAATGTTTTAGGACCCAAAAAACAGTACAATCTGAGAAGCATTTGGGTACACATGAAAATAAAAAGGTAGTGAAAGAGTGACTTGTTAACACACCTAGTATTATAATTATTAGAACTACTCTCATGTTAATGGTAACTCATTTGTTTACGGGTACACAGAAGTGAGTTTTTAGTTTTTGGGACATATAAACAACTGACGTGCCCCACACACCACAAACCGCGCACACACATACACACGCGGGCCGGGGGCTGGGCTCGACCCCCCCCTGATGACACTCTTCAGGTCACTTGTTCTATCTAGGCTGAATATTGCTTGCACTCTATCAGCACCTTTCAAGGAGGTGGAAATTGCCCCGACCTAGAAAATGTACAGAGATCTTTCACGGCGCGCTTACGGGAGATAAAACACCCTCAATTTACTGGGAGTGCTTGAGGTTTCTAAACCTGTATTCACTGGAACGCGGAGGGAGAAGATACATGATTATTTACACTGGAAAATCACTAGAGGGACTAGTACCGAACTTGCACACGAAAAATCACTCACTACGAAAGCAAAAGTCTTGGCAGTACGATGCACCACCCCCCATGAAAAGCAGGGGTCTCACTAGCCGTTAAGAGACCATACAATAAGTTGTCAGGGCCCGAGACTGTTCAATGCCTCCCAAGCACACATAAGGGGGATTACCAACAGACCCCTGGCAGTCTTCAATTGGCACTGGACAAGCACCATAAAGTCAGTTTCTGATCAGCACAGGCCGGGCTGTGGCTCGTACGTTGGTTTGCGTGCAGCCAGCCAGCAACAGCCTGGGTGATCAGGCGCTGATCCACCAGGAGGCCTGGTCACAGACGGGCCGCCGGGGGCGTTGACCCCCGAAACTCTCTCATTGTAAAATCCAGGTATGAAGGGGTTCAGGGAATCCGGCAGGCCGGACTTGAAGTCCTGGAGATGGGAAGTTACGTGTCTGCACTCTGAAGGAGGGGTGTTAATGTTGCAGTTTAAAAACTGTAATTGTAAAGCACCCTTCTGGCAAGACAGTGATGGAGTGATTGCTGGTGAAAGTTTTCTTTTTCGGGCCACCCTGCATTGGTGGAATCGGCCAGTGTGATATAAATTAATAAATAAAATATGTATATATATTATATATATATATATATATATTATATATATATATATATTATATATATATATATATATATATATATAATATTATATTATATATTTATACTATTTGTGTAATTTTATATATATATATGTGTGTATATATATTATAATATTTATTTACTATATATATATAATATATTAGATATTATCATATATATATATATATTACTATTTGGTGTAATTTATATATATGTATATTATATATATATATATATATATATATATATTTATATTTATTTATATATATATTATTTTATTATTATATATTCGTGCCTAATGGTAAAACTTGCTATTTTAGCTTAATTAGCAACGTTCTTGCCGAATATGGCCAGCGAAAATTTGTGTATGACATAATTTCGCAAAAATCATTCTGAACCTCACGAAAAGGAAAATATTCATTTAGTCTATTAATAAATTGGTTCAGTTGTCTTTAATTAATTAGTTGGCATAGGCCTAAATTAAATTTGCGCTTGTTTAATAAGGTTAGGTAAGTTTCTACGGTTCCTTTGGTTAAAATTATTAATTTTACATTAACATAATTGAAAAAATGTAATTGAAAAAAAAATTTTCTTTAAAACGTGAAGGAGAAAATTTTATGAAGAACTTATATTTTAAATGAGTTCTTGCTAATTGACTAATTTTACTTATTCGGCACGATTACTAATATATATATATATATATATATCTATTTATATATATATTATATATCTATATATATATATATAATCGTTTAAGGTTTTACAGTTTGCCCGTAGTGTTCTGCATAACAGGGGCTTTAAACGTCTTCTGTTAAAGGTCCAATTTTGTAAAAAAAAAAAAATACATTATGGGAATAAAGTATTTGTCTATATTAGAAAGCACGGAAACGAGTGGGTTTGGAACCCTTAGCCAAGGAGTCTAAAATCATGTTACGATTTCGTGAGTTGTTTTAAGAGCCTTCGGAGAAGAGAGTATTCTAGTTCAAGGAGAAACAATTTTTTTTCCTTTCGTACCACCGTTTTTACATTGATTACTTGAGTATACATGAACGGATTACACAATTGACGGTTCTCCAATGCATTGCCCACAGAACAGTAGTGTATTAAATTAGCAATGTTTAGGACAAACTCCACCCGTCTGGAAGAGGTGAGGAACGCTTGATGGATTGCGCTACTTCAAGCAGTTTCCACTATCACACTGGCCCATGCTACATTAAGTAACCTTCATATACTTGATGTCACAGGTGATTTTGATTAATCACCTCGTGATACACAACCACGTCATCACCTCGCTAAACTAAATTTTTATTTTACGTGATTTTGTTAACGGTAGTGTAGTCTGTCATGAGTCAAAAGTGCACACGATGATTAGAATGTTTGAGCAATGTAATTACGTAAATATGTGTTAGCAAAAACCAACGTGTTGGGTTGACCACTGTACACGTGTAAATCAGCACCATAACTGAGATATGCAGCACCAGTCTGGAACCCCACACCTGGTTCAAGCTCGTCAAGAAGTTAGAGAAAGTACAAAGGTTTTGCAACAAGGGCTTAGTTCCAGAGACTCAGGGAGAATGTCGTCGAGGAAAGGTTGAGGGAATCGGACTGACGACACTGGAGGACAGAAAGGTCAGGGGAGCATGATAACGACATACAACGATACTGCGGGGAATAGGACAAGGTTGACAGAGATAGGATGTTCCAGAGAGGGGGGTACACAGAAACAAGGTGGTCACAAAACTGGGAAGCTGAAGATCAGACGAGGTCCACAGGGACGTTAGGAAGTATTTTCTTCAGTCATAGAGTCGTCAGGAAGTGTTAGCCTCCTAGCAAGTGAAGTAGTGGAGCAGGAACCATCATAGTTTTAAGAAGAGGGTATAACAAAGCTCAGGAAGCAGAGAGGGAAAGGACCTAGAGTGATCAGTGAGAGCGGGGCCAGGAAGTGAGTCTCGACCCCTGCAACCCAATTAGGTGAGTACACACACTGTTAGCAAGAGCGTATCTCTGTGTGAGCAAGGCAATAGGATAATAACCAGCAGTAATTGGTACTTAAATCAGGCATGTGCAATAAGTGGAAAAAGGTAGCGTTCACCCCCCCCCCCCCCTCCAGACAACTGGTACTACAAGTTAGAGCTACATGACAGAGTGCGTGTGATGGTTTACCTTTTCAGCCACATATCAACTCACTTCCCTACCCCCTAACCATCGCTCCCCCTGATCAGGGTTTGTGAGGAGAGGGAATAGGCTAGCTAGTGAGGTGGTAAACGTTCGACAAGCCCTCACACACGTACACAACACACACCACGCAACACACGCATGCACGATGCACACACATGCATGCAATACAACAGGCCAAGTGTTTTTATCGACCCATGTGCCTAGGACAAAATGGTAACTAAACACACACACACACACAACACACACACACACACACTCACACACACACACCACACACACACATCACATGCATAGCATGCACATACAACAGGCCAAGTGTCTAATCGACATGTGCCTAGGACCAAATGGTAACTAACACACACACACACACACACACACACACACACACACACACACACACACACACGCACGCGCGCGCGCACCCTCTTTTTTATGTTAAACCAGTAAAACGCACCTCGTGACTAATACACTGATGACTACTGACCTTCATCTGTAGTGTAAGTGGAAGAATCAGTACTCCCAGTAAAAATAGTTGTAGCGTTATCGTCTGTAGAGGTAATTAAATCGCCATCTTCATCATTACTTTCCAGATGCTTCATATACTGTATGTCAGTTTCCTTGACACTCCACAGAGGCTGTACCTGCCGGTTGAAAACATGTTTACTGTAACATACCATTGTACCCTCCAGCACTATGGTTACTGTACCTTCAGTACCATCGTACCCCCTAACATAATTGTAGTTATCGTGGGTATTATTGTTCTTGATATGTTTGTTATTGATGGTCAAAAGTCGCAGTGTACTGCAAAAAATAGATTTAAAATGGACTTTGTCTGTGATAATTCAGGGGATTTTTTAAATTTCAAAAGGATTATTGAATTTTATACGTAACAGTTTCACATGTCTTGTCATATGACTTGTCGGTGCATTAGTGATTGTTATGTACATCAGGTCAGTCCTGGGCATCATTCAGGTCAGGCGGAAAGACCATTTCCCATGGCTATCGCAGTACCAACAACACACCACCAGGGTGATGATAAACGCTTCATGTCTGCTCTTAACCTTGGTGT